GAAAGACTAAAACTTAAAGCTACACCAAGGAAAACGCGTTTTCACACTTATGCGTTTCGTGTGATAAAAATACTGTTTTCTAGGTTATCGAACGTGCCAAATTCGAATATTCCATTGTTTTTAGTCCTTAGAAGAGCTAAAGTTTGACACAAAAATCTTTTACGCAAATGAAGCGGTTTTTCGACATGCCTATATCAAAAAATGAATTAAAAGACAATTTGAATGAATTACCCTGAACGATTTTTCAAATTTCACAGTTATTTTTATAAACAAGTTGGTTGATATATAGAGAAAGGAAAAGAAAGGGTTTACTAAGGAAATCGAAAATTAAAAGTACGACGTGAGTAATGTATTGCTACAAGAAAGAAGAAAAGAACGATGTGTAAATGGCATTAGATCAAATCTATACAAGTACTAGTTTCTTTTCGGAAGATTATTGTGTTATGGCACATATTAAAGACGTGCCACAAGAGAGAATTGTATGATAGGTATCATACAAACGCGTTTTCCTTGGTGTAGCTTTAAGTTTTAGTCTTTCACAACCCGCTCAAAACCTCCTCTAAAACCTTGAGAAACAGTTTTACGTGGGTTTCGCGATATGCTCTTTCATATTCACGGATCAAAAATTTGTTTTATTGCAAATGGTTTTTCGACCCCAAAAACCCAGTATTTAAAAAACCGGGTCTTTAAACTAAAACTGGGCCCAAACCAATGTACTATTCGGAATCAGGACACTCGATTACTTATTGTTCACTAAGTTTTAGACTAAAAGCTTCTGGACAGTTGGGGACCCTCCCTCGTGAGTAGAAACGGGACCAGTGTCCAAAACCAAAAATTGTCGGTAGCCAAAAGCAGGTTGGTGTGTAAAATATTCTTTGTCCTATCTTTTAATAACGAATGGTTTTGTTTTACCGATTTTACTGGTTATATTTTCCATATTAATACTAAGAAATATACATTATTTAAAACGCAGAACATGTCGTTTCGCCTCCGATCCCCAATCTTATACAACATTTCTTCGTATAAAGTCAATTGACGATGAGGTAACAAAAATGTTACTATTACAAATTACAACAACGTTCATCAGTGGTCTGCCCTACGGTAGTCTATTGTTTTATAGTTTACTGACAATGAGCAAACAAAAAACTTTACATCAGCAAGCATGGGAATATTTTTTAACAAATGTTATTAGTTTGTTACTTTATGTTAATTACATATGTTCATTTTATATTTATATTATTTCATCAAGGTTATTTCGAAGACAATTTATCAGAATTGCTTATAAGAAAATAATAGTGATAATGGGAATATTAAAAATACGTCAACAAGGTATTGAATTATCATCAGGACCATCAGCAACATCAGCCCAAGTACGAAAATTTGAGATAGAAAATTCACCAACAAACCTGTTTGAAATGGCACAATTATCAAACATACAAACTAAATAAAGTAATATTAAACGGTGATTTTTTGGCTACTGTTGGGGTCGGTGGAATTAATGGTAATGTAATTGATGATTGAGGTTGCTCTAATGGTCGCTGTATTTCACCAAGAGCGTTTAGACATGCATATTCTAATTGTCGATCATTAATCATTTCGAGAAGTTTATGACGTAATTGTTGATTTGGAATAAGATGATGATTATTAGTAATAGAATTTTGTTGTAATGGTGTGATACTATTAT